TTTCGAAGGGAGGGGACACCGAGGTGGATGAGCCACTTAGTATGCGTGAAAAGTTGGAAATGTGAAAGGTCAAAGTGGTCACAAAGCGCCATTCAGGCAAGAGAGCGCAGAGAAAAACAGAAAATTGGCGCCATTAAAGGAATTGAGTTTTAGTTGTCCGTAGACCCTCCACGAGAATGATTACGAAATGAAGAATATCCTGCACTGCTCAATTGCTGTTTTAATTGCGAATTTTGTTTTGTAATCCAACTCCGTTCACATATTCTCTTCATCCAGAGAATACTAGAATACTTTCAATAGTTCCACTTACCATAACATCATGTTTTTCCGCCCAATCTATGATTTCCTTCTTTTGCTTCGCAATGGTTTTCTCATCATCAGACAGGATTGACGCATATTCTGCACGAGCATCATCGTCGACATATCTCAGGTATGACGGTAGAGGTCCGCCATAACCTCTGCGATCAGAATGATATCGTCCATGAGACAGCGCCACCGCCACAGCAATGCATAGCAAAAGAAGTGAGGCTCTCATTGCGATGCCTGAAAAAGGCCAGATTGATAATTCAAAGAAAAGCGAAAAGGGATTCAGCTCACGCTGATCCTACAGATTGGTTTAGAAGTTATGCACAAAAATCCTCTCGCTTGAAATGTGCCCTTTTTGATCGTGCTGATAGTAGAAAAACGGTCCCAGAAAAGCGGAAAACCATAAAAGAAGAAACCATTAGAAGACACAGAAAAAAGGCTGCAAAACCATGTCCATCAAAGAGGCCGAAGACGTGGTTTGAATGAAAAAAAGATGCATGGAAAAAGGCGCCTATGGCTCTAGCCACCCAGTGTGGGATGCTCCGCGCAGCCTACCTCAAACTAGTTATGAGAGATTTTTGGTAAGGACCTACGTATACAGTAAGCTGGAGAAGGTTTAAGTAAGAAAAATATGCTTTCAAAGTGAAGGGCTAATAATATTAACCGTCAATCACACCATACCAGGCTCGACTGGAGTGAATACTTACTTACAAAGGGCAGCTCATAGAATATGCCTGCATAGTGCATGTAAGCTGAAAACGGAAACCTCCTAGCATGAGTACGTTCTGAAGAATCCTGATGTTTGCAGGTTCTACGCTGAGAAGATACCAATATACTAAGAGGGCAGCACATTGGGCCTAACAGGCTCTCGCATCAGCATGTTGCACCAACCAAGACACCAACCCTGGATGCGAGCGAAATGAGAACTATCTGCAGATGAAGCAGTAGGGAACAGAGCACTATCTTGTGATCAGCTGACTCTTTATGCGACATTTTTGGCTCTGATCATACAGTACTATGTTTTCAGGCGATGTTATCACCGTGCTGATAACTTTTTCTCGATATATAGCCAAAATTTTGTTAGTTGTGTTAGCAAAGTGCTACTGCTCCGGATGTTCATCTTCCGACCGTTTTGTTTTTCTTGGTTATCGAAGTCTGGCAATAGAGATAGCTGCTGCTGATAATTTAGTCTCGTTTTCAGAGGTAAATAAGCATTGCACGTCTCAGGCACGACTTCACAAATTGTCTGGTCTGAAGGTGAAATCACGAATATGGTATTCCTTTTTTGCGCTGACGCCATTTGGCGCTAGAGCCTGTGCTCTGGCTTGCAGTCCTGCCTACGAATACGACATTCAATCTATGCGTCAGAGCTAAACTATTCAGAAGCACTCTGATCATCTGTGCTCCTAAGGCTGAGGCTGGTGGAAGGGTATCCTCATGCCGAGGGTATCACTCCTTCTCTCAGGCTCAGCATCAGCAGAGCGCTAAGTAGCGCTGATGTCAAAAAATAAATGCCATTTTCGCGATCAGGATATCAAAGTCAATCCTGTTATGCAAATTTTCGCCTAATCGTGTGAATATATTACCCGAAAATGGCGTCCATTGACGCTAGATGGCGCCAGTGGCAAAAAAGAATGTCATCTCCACGATCAGGGCACCAAATAACCTTCACTTCCGCAGTGTTCATCAAATTTTTTCCCGGCCTTTTGGCCATAGAATGCGCTAGTGCCGAAAATTCCTACATGATTGCATATGGGTTAGAATTATGAATGACGCTGTTGGTTGCAGTCAGCATAACAATAACAATGCAATCCTACTTAGTGGGAGGATTTTTGCAGACTGGCGTCAAAACTGAAGAATATAAGCGGCAATACGTCAACTTCATATTACTAACTTATCTACTACAGTCAGACTCCTGACTGTTCATCTTCCTGGTTTTTGTTCACTAGTACAGTCATAGTATCTGCAAACGATAGGCGGCTGACGGTGCGGCTTGGAACGCAGCCAAGGCAGATTTCCCACCAATTACTGCGAGCACAGGATGGCACTATCAGTGGAAAAAGACCGTCCTGGTTGCGCTCCGGTCCCCCCGCGCCATACGCCTTTTCGTTTACAGGAATCATGACCATGGCACGGCCTGCCTCTGGGGAAAACTTTAGAGGTATGTGGCGCCGGAGAAACGGGAGAACCGGAAATAGTGCCGGACAATGTAGTATATTTTTCGAAAGGGCTAGAGGGCGGAAGATTGTGTCTCATTCTTTTCGACCATTAAACGTATGACTCCCATGCCCCCCCCCCCATTGGGATTCTTTCAACAAGACTGGATAACAATCGTGAAACAGGAAAATCTAACTGATCAATCTATCGCGAAGAATTTTCATGAGCGTAATGACGCGCCCTCCTTGTGAGCGACCGAAATGCGCCCCTCATCTGAGATTCCCCAGGTAGGACGTGCCCTAATCATGACTGTGGATAAAGGCAGTGCCGTTTCAGGATGAAAATCGCCATCGTAGTACTGGTAATCGCAAGTGCAGCGGTGTGTGCTCCACCCGGAAGAGGATATCCACCATGCAGTAATGGTATGCCTCCTCCACCACCACCATACCTCAGAAACGTTACTCAAGACGCCCGTGACGAGTACTTCGAAATCCTTTCCAGGGATAATGAAACGATAGCACAGCAAAATCAAGACATTCTCACCTGGGCGCGGAAATATGGACTAGAGGTAGGCTCCATGAAAGCTTTCAAGAGGAAGCAGTTCGGGTGTTTTGCTTGCTTTGATTTGCAACATTTCTGCAAAAATAGTGAATTTGCTCATTTCTAGGCAGAAGTACAAGAGTTCCGAACCAACTCGACGAACAGAAGGACCATAGTGGAGCAGAATGTCACCAGTCTCATTGGTCAATTGGGCACAGTTCTGCAACAAGGCATCGCAATAGTGAATGACGAGAATCAGACGGCGATGAACCAGACCATGGCTCTAAGGAATCTGAGTTCTGAATATCCTCAGGTGATGATCTTCTTGACCACTCTCTTCAATCCGGAAACGCCTAGTGATACCCCGAAGCCAGCCGTCTTTCCAGGCATTCGCAGTCCTACAGTTCGCCGTCAGTCTGTTTTTACCACCTGGAGCCCCTCAACTATTCGGTGATATTCAACCCGGTGTTCTTCCATCACCAGGAGTACCTCCCCCAGGAGGTGGTCCTTGTGGATTTCCTCCTCCACCAGGAATGTGGGATCCCTGTGCACCACCCGTTCCACCAGGAGATGACGACACAGATTCATTCCCCCCACCAGAAGAAGGGAGTGGTTGTCCGCCTCCTCCGCCACCTGGGCCATGGAGTCCTTGCCCACCTCCTCCGCCACCAGGAGGATGGGGCCCTTGCTCGCCTCCTCGTCCACCGCCAGGCGGACCTGAATGCCCCGACTTTCCAGGTACGATGCAAGATTTTTATATCATTGGATTCATTTCAATAGCTATAGTCTTGCCAGGTGATAAGAAATGAACTTTGTTGAAGGAGATGGACCCGACATCGGGAAATAGGCCGACGCAAGATGCCGGCGTTTGGAAAAATACCTCTCTTATAACACTACTACGAGATGAATCCTGTGATTCTGGAATTCTTTCTAATGAAAGAAGCTCAATAAACCTGTCAAACTGCAGTGGTTATGAAATTCTCAGCAATGAGCTGAATTTTGCACCAAGCACTCTACTTCCCAGAGAACTGTTTAGGCAGTTGAAAGCACATCTGGCTAGGTGTACAGAGCGGATCATGTGAACCAGCTGGTTTCCAGGTTGATACATTCAGACTGTTTGGCTGTCTGGTTCCATCTGAAAAGTATCAGCAAAACGTGAGGTTTGGCAGGACTTCATCCAAGACGATGCTAAGGTTCAACCGCTGCACTCTTTGAGGGTTAGAAAGATAGATAGCCTTCATTTTTGGTACATCTCTTGCTGACGAAAAAGTACACGCTA